CCCCCAGGCCTGCTGGCAGTTCTGAGGGGAGAAGCAGGCCGGCCCCGGGGTGGGCCAGGGAGCAGGGTTAGAGGCTAGCTAGCTTTGCGTGGAGTCCTCACCCCAGGGTTGTGAGTGGCGACATCACGGCTGCCCAAGGCTGGGAAGGGGTGGGAATTGGGTGCCCTTCTCATCGAGTGGCCCTGAGGCAGCCTCTGCAGGTCTCTGGGCCCCAGCCTGTCAGCAGCCCTAGGAGCTTCACCCCGGCACCTCTGCTATCCCTCAACGCCCCCTTCCTCCCCCCCTCCCCCAAACTCCCAGCTTCCCTGCGCTTCCTCCTTCTCACAGCACCTTTCCCTGGAGCTGGGACAGAGAGAGCAGTGCAGATGAGTACAGGAGCAGAGAAACCTCAGGTGCCCAGAGGCTCCCGGGGAGGGGGCAGTGCCTTTTCCCTGAGGCCCGTCTGGGTGCTGGGTGACAGCCCCCTGCCTGGCCTCGGCCACCGGGTTGGTGCCCCCCCCACCCCCCCAGAACAGGTGCCGTGAGCCAGGCCCCTGGCTGGCTCCAGGGAAGGGGCCGGAGTGAGGTGGGAAGCAGAGCCAGACAGACCTGGGCTCCACCCTGCGTCACCCCTTCACGCCTGTGTGATCGTACAAGCAGCCTCCATGGCCGCAGTCTACACAGGGGTGCAAGGGGTGCTCATCTCTCCTGTGAGGAGTGGAGGCAGCACAGGGTGAGGGCCGTTTACCTTCCTCGTGAGGATGGAGGATGGGAAGGAGGAGATGCCTAGCTGTCCTCGCCGCCGCCCACTGCGGGCACTGCCCTACTTCAGCCCCAGTTGCCAGGGAACCACCGGGCTCCTCGCTAACCTGGATTTCTCTATTGATGGGCCTTTGTCTTCCCGCCTCTGGTGCAGCTGCAGCTGAGGGGGCCCAGGGGACCGTATCCAGCTGTGTTTCCAGGCAGCCCTAGCTCTGGAGGCTGCAGGGTGGTCCTCAGGTCCTAGAGCTGGGAAACAGGATCCCCCTCCCCCCGCCCCAGGTGGGCACCTTCCTCCACCTCCAGCTCCGAGTCCGGCTTCAAAGAATAACAAAGCTAGAGGTATCACTAACTGATATCAAACTCTACTACATGGCAACAGTGATCAAAATAGTATGGTGCTGGCCCAAACACCAACACATTTCTGTGTGACCTGGGCATTGCCTTCCCAGACCCCTCCCCCTTCCTGCACCTTCCCGCCTCCCAGAGTCCCCCCACGGCCAGCCCGGCACCTCCTGTGTGCCAGTCTGTGCCGAGCATTATACGTCAATGAGAGAGCCTCGTTTATACCTTACACCTGCCTGTCAGTGCATGCTGTCCGCCCTCCACAATGTACACGTGGGCAAACTGAGGCACAGCACATGCTCATTAAGAGCTAGCTTTGTTCACGTGAATTCCCTCATCAGCCCTCTGTGTGGTGGGGGAAGGTCCACGGCCATAGATCCAGCGAAGAGCAAGCAAGTCAGGCTGGTTCCCCCAAGTGAGCCCAGGGGCTCAGCTCCAGGTTCAGACCCCCAGCTCACCCCCACCCGTGGGCTCCTTAGTGATCAGCCTGCTCTCTGGCCCTCCTGGGAGCGCCTGCTCTCGGTTCAGCGCCCCCGCACCCCGGCCAGGCCCTGTGCTGGGGAAGGGGCTGGGTAAACAGGATGGTCGCACACAGGATGATTACTGCAGGAGGAAGTGCCTTTGAGCTGAGCTCTGAAGGAAGAGTAGGTGTTGGCCTGCTGACGGGAGGATGTTTCTGGGCAGAAGAAACAGCAGATACCAGCGCTGGGGTAAGAGAGGCGAGTGTGGGGCACTGACAGCCGCCGGAGCCGCTCAGAGCAGCTGGAGTGGGTGGGGCTGGGCCAGACCTCAGACCAGATACCTAGGCTGCAGGTGGGGCTGAGCCGGAGGCCAGGGAGGTAGGTGGTCTTGGAGTGGGCATGAGGCCCGGAGACCTTCAGGGTTTGGTGGCGATGACAAGGTGACTGGGGTGAGGCTGGAGAGGGGCTGGGTGCCCTGACCCCGTGGCTTCAGTTCTGGGAAAGGGGAAGCTGCCGCGGGCTGGGCGGGGGCGCGGCTTCCTCTTTCTCTCTGGCCTCCGGTGCGCCTCCCTGGTGCTCCCTGGCCTCAAGGGCCCTCGCCCTGGTGGCTTTGTTAGTTGACCTTCTTCCAGGGAATTTCTGGGTCTAAATGTTTGGGTATTTTTGGAGGGCAGGGCGGGGCTGAGTGTGAGGAAGCCCCTGCTCCTGGGAGCCTGTTGGGTAGAGGCCTCCTGCCCCAGACGGGGCTGGGGAGGGCTTTGTGGTGAATGAGACCGCGTCCCTGCCCCGGCTGCTGTCTGGTGGGGGGGGCAAACAATAGATACGCAAGCAAACAAATGCTTAATTACCTGCCTGGGCAGGAGGTGCCTCCGGAAAGCAGGGCCTGGGGGGAGGAACTCCCACGACCTACTTTAGGCTCCTGTTACCTCATTTAATCCTTAGGACTGACAGCCGTGCCCTGGGAGGACGCTGAGGCCCCTGGAGGTGAAGTCGGGGCCTGCGTCCCCGAGGGAGTAGGTGGGGCCCCAGGGAGTTGGTGGGGCCCAGGCAGAAGCTCTGCTGGGGAGGAGTGGCCTCCAAGCTCACTTCCTTCTCTGCCCCTGGGGCCTCGAGGGCTTCTCTGCCAGGGGCAGGCGGGGAGGCCCCTGGCTGTGGGCACTGCGCTTCCCAGGGCCTCCGTCTGCCCTCCTGCCCCCTCTGGGGAGCCCTGGGAGGTGCAGGCTTTGGGGAGTCACCGACTGCTTGGCCTCCAGGACCAGCAGTGGGTGGGGATGGAGTCTTCTCAGACCCCCACCCAGCCCAGGGGCTTTGGTCTGAACTTGCTTTGTGATGGAGGCTCCAGGGCTGAGATGCTGGAGTCCTGGTGGGAACGGGGTG